CACTCATTTTGTTAATTGCTTTAGGATATATCTCTATTTAATGTATCAAAAAACAAGTTAAATTCTATTGTGCACGAATTGCGAAATGTATAATTTAATTTATTATGAATTTTATATAGTTAATTGATTCACATTTATGAAATTTATATCTTTTTAATACATTTATCCAATATAATCTGATATTAGAATATATTAAAAAATTATTAACCCTAACTGGGTGTCACTGTTTCAACATGATCCCCCCGTCCCTTAAAAAAAAAAAAAAGTTTAAACCTCGCATCTTATTTTAGCGAAGTTGAGTCTCTTTCAATATGAAAAAAATTTAGGTAGATTGAATAAACTACATCATTTATAGTTTGTTTAATAAAAATATGACATTTATATTATATTAAATATAAATTAATTTTGATATTAATGATAGTAAAGAGAGAAATATAATAAATTAAATTTACATTTTGTTATAAGAAAAATCAATTAAAAAATCTCACACAAGATTATATTTAGATTATTTAGAACATTCTAATTGACCAAACTATAAATGATATGGTGCACTCGATTTACCTAAATATTTCTCCTTCCAATACTCTATAAATATTTATTAATTTGTTGCAAGGGGAAGTTATAATATTATCCGTTTTTATAATTGAAATGATTGTTAATTTTTAATTGGCTTCGTTCTATTATATTTATTTAGATATATTATTACATGGGTTAGTTTTATTTTAATTCTTTGACTGCAGACTTAATTTTATTTTATTAATTATATGTATATTACTTTTTTTGACCATTAAATATGTATATTACTTTTGAAGAATACTTATGTAACTACTTAGCTAATAAAATTCACCAAATATTAAAATATTGACGGTCTGAATAAAATCTATTATAATAAAAAATAATGGGTCAAGTGGAAGTTGCATCCTTAAAATTACAGGCCCTTGTATCTAAGATCCTAAATTTATTTTTTATATAATATCTTTTTCAATTTTTAAAAATATTATAATATTATTCTTATCATTAATAAAAGTTAATTTTAACAGTTATTTAATGGTTAAAATTAATTTTTGTTGACTGATAAATTTAATGAATCTTACTTGAAAATTTAATGGTTGTAAATAAGGGTTTGCGAGTAGCAAATCATTAAAACTGAAAATACGTTTAATAAGTTTTTTGTTTAAAAATCAGATAATTTTACCTACAAATTCTTGTTTTGGACCAACGAGAAAATTTGTTGCCCCTATTTTGAAATTTCAAATCTTTTGATTTTTATTTTAGTTTAATTTAATTTAATCTTTTCATCCATTATCGTCAGTCACTCATTCTCCCCTACAGTGAAATTCTTATTAGAAGCAAACGAAATTTTTATGGGGGCACTAATGAAAATTTTTATACATGAGTGGGACGGAATTGAATTGTAGAGACATTGTATTGAATTTTCACTTTTTAGTAAGGGGAACTGCCTCCCATAGCAACAAATAGGTACAGTCCGATAAGAGATGATTGAACATAATTACACACTTGACCTTAGCCAAAGGCCGAGAAAGGTATAGATGATTGAACATAATTAAAGTGGCAATGCTATACTGACATGATCGCAAAAAGAATAATTATAAGTTTAATTACAGACACAATATTTTGATTTGAATAAAAATATTGATGAACATTGTAATTATAATGGGAAAAATTATAAATAGAGCAAGTGAAAAAAAAAATGCCATGCAAATAATATTTGAAGAAAAACACCCGGTTAAATTGATGTCAATGAGAAAAAGTCTTATATTTTTGGGAGGAACACAATTATCAATCCTTATAGTTTTTTTAAATTTTACTTTTAATCCTTGTAGTTTTATTTAGTATTTTCAGTCCTTATAATTTTAAGAAAGATTCGATAATATTTCCTTCGTTCAAAAATATAAGGTATTTTTTAAAAAGTTGAGTGTTCAAGAATATAAGGCATTTGTAGTCTTTCGAGGTGTAATCATTACTTTTTTTTAAAGCGTTCCTATTGATGAATAACTTTATATTTATTGTAGGGTATTTAATAGGAGTAAATATGGAAAGAGTTAATTTGAAAGTAGATAACTACTTTTATTGAAAGGTGAGATTCAGTTAAAAATGCCTTACATTTTTGAACAGATGGAGTACTTATTTTTCAAATCCCTGTAATTTTAATTTTTTTTAATATTTTGTTTTTATAAAAATTGAAAACACTAGAAAAAATTATAAGAACTAAAATCAAAATTCGATGAAATTATAGGGATCAAAGATTATATTTTTCTTATTTTTTTAAAAAAATAATTAGAAGTTTAATTTTTAATATATAAAACAAACCTAATTTAATGGGATTTACTGTTTTTAAATTTCCCTCTATATTTTGAGAGAGGTTGACCTCTCCTGATAGCAAATGCTTCATGTATGCAAATTAAAAGAAAAGATGAAGATGAGACACCTCACCTTTTGACCTTTTAAATTTTTTTCCCCTCCCCTCATTTAATCCTTGCTTGCACTTGCGTGAGGAAGTAGATATCAACTACTGCTTAATTCTCCCCCATAATAACACCTGAAAAGTGGACCCCTGAGCGTTGGTAGCTAAATGAATTGATTAGAATTTGGTGGTAAGTAGGTGGTAACTTTTGTGATGCTCAATTTAATTGGGATACTAATTAAGAGAGCAGAACCACTTCCTTCACACGACTTTCCACTGTGAAAAGAGAAGCACGAACACCAATCACAGCAACGCATCACCTTCCATGAACTTTTACTAGCACCACCAGCCCCATCCCAAACCAAAGCCACTAGAGCTGCGATGAACAAATCGAAACCACCTCCAACTAGCCCAAATTGAAAGTCTTAAGGCAAGGAACCATATTAGATTCAGATGGAATAGAAGAGATTTATGAGCATAAGAGTTGCCTTCCACCTAGAATCTTGTAGCCATTGAACCAAACTTAGGAGAAGCTTAAGAAAATGAGATTCTTCATGGGGCTTTTGAAATCCCTTCATTTGCGCCGTTGCTTTTGAGGATGAAAATAGATTAAACTGAGTTAGATTTTAATCAAATAGGTTTGAGTTTGTATAAATTTTTTTTTACAATTCAGACTTGAATTGCTTAAAGCCTAATTAGATTTGAAAGCCTACTTAAAAATAAATCTTTTATATAGGTTCGTATTTTAGTTTTAAACGTTTTAAATATACTTTATAACTATTATAATATATCGTAATAAGATTAACATATACGTCTTACCATATATAATAATTACAATATATAATAATAATTGAATCCTCCTTCCATTAAAAAATGTAAGGCATTTTTAACTAAATTTTACCCCTCAATAAAGTAGTTATCTACTTTCTAACTAATCCTATCTTTTCATATTTACCCCTATTAAACACCCTACAATAAATATAAAGTCATAATCAATAGGGATATTTTTGAAAAAAAAGACAATAATTACACCTTGAAAGACTAAAAATGCCTTATATTTTTGAACATTTAACTCCATAAAAATGTCTTACATTTTTTAATGAAAGGAGTAAAATACAATATAATAATAAAATAATACTATTAAGATTAATATATAAATCTAATATGATTGAAAATATAACTAAAAATAAAAAAATAAGTTGATTAAAAATTAAATAGTGAAACTGATATACTTGTGATATATAAATAAGCCGACCTGTTGGGTTCATATGTTAGGTTTTGAAAAAAATATGCATAATTTATTTAATTAAATATGTTTAATTAAAAGCTTAAATTTAGCAAGAGCCTATTTATGAAATAAGTTAGGTTAAATTATACCTAAAGTAAGTCAAATTGTAGATTCTGGTTAAGTGCTTATTCTATTTTCACCCCTAATCGCCTTCTTCCTTACTTCCACTAACATGACCAACAACCCTATAAAACCCACCCCATTGAAGGCAATAGCTTTCAACAAAAACACACAAAATAAAGATATAATCCACCTAAAAATTAGGGTGGGTTTCTCTTATTTATTTATTATTATTTTTTATTATAAATCTAAATTATTTAAATTAAATTTATATTTTTAAAAATTATAAAAACTAAATTTTAAATTTAATTTAACGATTTAAATTTGTATTGATTTCCTCTCCTTTTTTGTTTTTTTTTTTCTGTAAAAGAAAAAATCCAACTCCCAAAGAACCACCATCCACGGACGACCTCCTCGCCAGCCTACGTCAGAGAGAGAGAGAGAGAGAGAGAGAGAGAGAGGTACTGGGGACCACAGCACAGCTGCACAGGGACACAGGAGTACTTATGGAACGGAGCGATTGAAACCCCACACGGGAGAGACAGAGCGGTTTGCCCTGCTCGAACCTTGCTTTAACAACTTTTTTTATGTATAAAAATAAAAATCTAAATTTTGCCCCAAAAAAAATCTAAAATGCATAACTGAATTAAAAATTATATTGTCAATATCCCGCATTCCCGCTGAACCTCTTATTGTTTTCCAATTCTAATTCTAAATTAGAAAATATTCTTATTCATATCGTTGTCATGATCACGAAACTTCGCAATCCACTGTTAACCTGGCTCCATTGTCGTAAAACGTGGTCGCGTTAATTCTACTATCTCTGAGGTGAAAAGAAAGAGGAAGTTTCTGCTGAATTAAACGTGTAGACTAATCTTCTTCGATTTACCTTTTTTTGTGTAATTAAGGGCGTGATGGAAGGGCAATTCCCCAGATTGAGAAGAAATGTTCTTTCACTAGAAGATCCCAATCCGAAACCTGCTGCAAATGGGGACGATCCTCTTCCCCTGAATAAGAATATGATTATCCTATTGATTGGCCAATCAGGTGAAATTACCCTACCTTACCCGCACGCCACTTTCTATCTCTCTCAGTGCGCTTTACGACACTGTATCTATTGAGACAGAATTACGGCCGCGAATCTGTATATATAAAAATATTATTATATTTAAAGCATTTAAATTTAAAGAATTTTGAGAATTTGAATTGAATAATATATCCAGCGAGGCCAACTTGCAGTTTCAAGTTGAAGTTTGACAATCAACCAACCAGGTCTCGCTTTTCCCTTTCTCGCCGGAGACGAAGATGGAAGGGCCGTCTACGGCGGGAGATTCCCATAAGATTACGGTGAGGTCGTCGGTGATCGAGTCGTTTGGAGCATGCGGGCTCTCGGGGCTCCGGATTGACAAGGAGGAGTTGAAGCAGAAACTCATGATGCCTCGGTACCTCCGGTTGGCAATACGTGATTGTATTCGCTTGCAGGATCCCACCGCTGGAGAGAGCCACTTCAGAAGTCGCAACGCTGACGACTATGGCAATGTCGAGCCACCGGAGACGCCTATGGTGGTCTTTATTAATCGCCGCAGCGGTGGCCGACTTGGCTCTGTGCTCAAGGAGAGGCTTCAGTATTTGATGGGTGATGAACAGGTGATATATATATATATATGTATAAATATATCGAAATTCAATTTTTTTTATTGGTTTTTAAACTGCGTGATCCAGGCTGATTAAGAATTTTTGTTATGTGGTTGTTGATTTTGTCCAAGTGCATGCATTTGCTGTTTGGCAATGATACGAAGAACTTAGAGTTGGAGTGATGATCAAGGAGTGTGTGACTGCTGAGTTGTACGGCGTGAATGTGTTTCTTCGATTAGCTTTGCTTTTAATGATTTTAATTTGAGGCTTTTTTGCTTAAGGCGTTGGAGTACTCTTGTGCTGAGCAGACTAAGCGGCGAAAAGGCCAAAGGGTTTCTCACGCCGGTGTCATATTCATGTTGGCTTACAACTGGAGAGTAACATGAAAGGAAAGAAATAAAAACAAGCAATCGTAACAACTGAGAAATGGAATATCTACTCAGGGAGCAACTGAAAGATGCAAAATGAGAATTGGTTCTGACAAGAAACTAAATATTTTTTGTGCATCCCTCCTCGTTTTCATTTCCCGTTTTCACTCTCACTACGCAAACCCTGGACGCTTACAAAAAGCTCACTGCTGCGTTTTCTGTTGTTAGCATGCCTTTATCAAGCCTAATTATCGGAAAGGAAATATTAAAGAATTCAACTGCTGAAAATTTGTGTTAGCCATTCTTAGTTAAAGTCACCTCCAACCTTAATCTTTCCTGTCTTCCTTTTCTCCTATTTATTTTCAACATGACAATGTTTCGTTTATCTTGGCTCTAGAGCATATTTAAACGAGATTTGAATTGCATTAACACAATGCAAGTTTTAGTTTGAGACAAATGAATGCAGGAACTGCTTTTTCTTGCTTTGATCTTAATTCTTTTTTTCTTCCATGTCATGATTAATTATGTTTTGTACTGTAGGTTTTTGACCTAATAGATGTGAAGCCTCATGAATTTGTCAAGTATGGATTAGGTTGCCTGGAGACATTGGCTGGTCTTGGTGATTCTTGTGCCAAAGAATGTCGTAAGAGATTAAGAGTTATGGTATGCTGATTTTTTTTTTTTGACAAAATTATTGTATGTTGATGAATCTATTTCAATCATGAATTTACATTCTACATCCAATTTACAGTGTATAAAAAATATTCCTCTTCTTCTGTTATCAGCTGTAATGCCAATACCGCATAATTAAATCCATTTCCTTCTAAAATAGAATTACCATTGGATTATGCTGGGTGGTTGGACAGGTTGCAGGAGGTGATGGTACAGTTGGTTGGGTGTTAGGATGTCTCACAGAACTTCATAGAGAAGGCCGGCTGCCAGTTCCTCCTGTTGGGGTTGTACCACTTGGTACAGGCAACGATCTATCCAGAAGTTTTGGCTGGGTAAGAATCCATATACGATGAAACTATGGGCTAGATTAGTGTTTTCTACTTTGTTAATATGTGCATTTGATCTGTCATCAGGGTGGGTCATTTCCTTATGCTTGGAAGTCAGCTATCAAGAGATCTCTTCACAGGGCTGGTACTGGTCAAATTTGTCGTTTGGATAGGTGATCTTATCTTTTTTTTTTTTTTTGGTAATATAGGCGATCTTATCTTAATTTTGAACTTTGCAGTGTCAAATTGCAGCTTTTATCAATTATCTTTCTCCTGTGCAAAAAAAAAAAAAAAAAAGCTGTCTGCCGTTAACTATTGTCTACCGAACAAAGTGTGGTGTTGTGTGTGTGTGTTGTGTTTTGGTTAATGCCCAAAGGTATGCGTGTGGAGGATTTTATATTGGGGGCCATGCTTATGTTTTCATTCCATAAGGTCTTGTTCTTGTTTAATGACATCTTCTTGTTCTTTTTTAGGCATTAATTTGACTGGAGTCTTTTCTGAAATACAGTATGATAAGAACTCACAACACTAAATATTTTGGATTGACTGCTTCTATATGCAACAAGAGAAATTTAAAAGCTGTATGCAGGTTATGGGTCTGTTCCATGAACATATGTACTTTTTTCTCATGACCGTCAATGCTTGTAACAGTATAATAACATCTGTCATTTAAGTAAATAAACTGAGATGCAAGAAGCTCATTTAGCTTTTACTATTGATGTGAAAGTTTAAACTTATTTCATAAGATGACATGTCAATATATATTACGGTAAAAGCATGGGGAATGCCCAAAATAGTCCCCTACACTAAATTCAACACACAGTTGACAAGATTCGATAATAGTAAGTAGTAACTGCTATCTTTCTGGATATTTTTTACTTCCAGTTACTTGATATTCATATTCTTTTTGACACTGTTTGTTTTGGTGCCAGATATGAATTTGGAAAATTGAATGATTGAGGTTTTGTGCTTTACATAACCATTTGTATTATCATGGAAAGCATGGAGCCTATAAGTTAACAGTACAGCTTTCATTGTCTATGTCAACATGGACGAAATTCTATAGATGATTAGAGTTGTCTGAAATGTTTAGGTCTTTTTCCAGGTTCTCTTTGCTCTAATGACTTCTGTTGTTCTCTCACATCAGTTCAGTTTGTTTTCCTTTCTGGTTTGGTGTGTTTTTAATGCAGTTGGCGAGTTTCACTTTCAATGCCAGATGGCATAGCTCTGAAAGCACCATATTCTCTGAAGCCTACGGAAGAGTTAACTCTGGATGAGGTTGTGGATTTGGTCTTTTTCATCGCATACTTGCCTTATTTTTCATATGGAACACTGGTACCTTGCCTTTTTTTTGATGCTACAAGTGATTATAGTTATGGCATGCGCTTCAGGTTGAGCATATTCTGAAGCTCATTTTGAAATTTTTATTGTTGTTGTTGTAATTGCTGTCGTCATCATCATTGTCATCTATATATAAAGTTGGTGATGGAATATGTCATTACTTTGATTTTGATTGAAGGCATGAATGTGACTGCTTTAACAGGGGAAAAATCAAATATTTCTATAGCAAAACCAGTTAACAATGTTTATGATATTTAGTTGTTATAAGAAGAGGGGTGGTTAGGCAATTAATAGGGTGATTGTAATGAGGATATTTGGACTTATGATGAAGAATTAAGGTTTTTTTTTTTTTGAAAACAAACTCAATTCTTCATCATAAGTTCAGATATCTTGGTAGACGGCATGGAGTTGATGTAAGCGAAAATAAATCTGCTAGACTCTCTAAGCAAGTATCTCACTTAAAGAAACTAGTAGCCAAGTCAAGAAGAGAATCCCCAATGACTGCAAATAATTTCTGATTAAATCTGGAATAATGTCTACAAGCCAGGGACGGATCCACATTAAGGCTTGTGGAGGCAATTGCCCCCACAAGCCAAGAAAATATTAGATAACAAGACCCCAAAATTTTTATATGCCTCCATCAGAAAATTTCATTTGCCCCCATCATTTCAGAACATTCACTTGCCCCCTTACAAAAATTCACTTCTCCCATATAAAAATTTATGATTTAAAAGATTAAAAAAATTTATCCCATTAAAAAGTAATTTTTTATTTTATGCATTCTTTTTAGCATTTAACTTTATTATGTTATATCCTTAATAAAAATTACAACAACAACAACAACAACAACAAGCCTTTATCCCACTAGGTGGGGTCGGCTACATGGATTGCAAGACGCCATTGTGCTCTATCATTTATTAAGCTTTTAGAAATATTATTAATTAAGAGATCACGTTCAACAACTTCCAAGAGTGTTCTCTTAGGCCTTCCTCTACCTCTCTTAATCGGACTCAAAGTTATATGTTCCACTCTTCTCACTGGTGCCTCCCTTGGTCTTCTTTGTACATGCCCAAACCATCTCAACCGATTTTCTACCATTTTTTCCTCAATAGGTGCCACCCTCACTTTTTCACGTATGTGCTCATTTCGAATTTTATCTTTACGTGTATGTCCGCACATCCATCGTAACATTCTCATCTCTGCTACTCCAACTTTATGTTCTTGCTGTCCCGTTAGAGCCCAGCATTCACTACTATATAACATTGCCGGTCTGATAGCAGTACGATAAAACTTTCCTTTAAGTTTATTAGGCACCTTACGGTCACAAATAACTCCTTTAGCTTTTCTCCAATTAAACCACCCAGCTTGAATTCTATGTGAAATATCTCCACTGATTTCGCCATCATTTTGGATAATGGCTCCCAAATATCTAAACTTTTCCACTTGAGGTATAATTTGATCTCCCAATTTCACTTCCAAATTATTTTCGAATAGTCCTTTATCAAATTTACAATATAAATATTCCGTCTTACTTCTACTCAGACGAAAACCTTTCGACTCCAATGTCCTCCTCCATAACTCAAGTTTGCAATTAACCTCTTCTCTTGTCTCTGCTATAAGAACTATATCATCCGCGAAGAGCATACATTTCGGGATTTCCTCTTGAATATGTTCCGTCAAAACATTTAAAATCAAGTTGAACAAATAAGGACTCAGAGATGATCCCTGATGTAGCCCAATCTTTATAGGAAAATCCTTTGTTTGACCACTAGGCGTTCTTATACTAGTTTTTACCCCCTCATACATATCTTGTATGGCTTTAATATAAGCAATCCGTACTCCCTTTTTTTCCAACGCTTTCCAAAGCACTTCTCTTGGTATACGGTCATATGCTTTTTCCAAATCAATAAAAACCATGTGTAGATCTTTATCTTTACAACGATACTTTTCCATTAATCCCCTTAGTAGATAAATCGCTTCTGTAGTTGATCTACCTGGCATAAAACCAAATTGATTCTCAGAAATACTTGTCTCCAATCTCAACCTGTGCTCAATTACTTTCTCCCACAATTTCATTGTGTGGCTCATGAGTTTAATCCCTCTATAGTTAGTATATCTCCTTTATTTTTATAAATAGGAATTAATGTACTTCTCCTCCACTCATCGGGCATTTTCTTGGACCGTAAAATCACATTAAATAACTTAGTTAACCATCTCACCCCTTCTTCACCTAAACATTTCCACGCTTCGATAGATATACAATCAGGTCCGTTAGCTCTACCATTTGCCATTTTCTTAAGAGCTTCCTTTACCTCCTTATCACGTATTTTTCGATAGAATGACAAATTTTGTTCTCCTTCACCAGTTACTAAATCCTCCAAGTTACTAGATGAATCCTCTCCATCATTGAAAAGTTTAGAAAAATAAGTCTCCCATCTATTTTTAATTTCATCATCTGTAACTAAAATTCTTCCCTCTTCATCCTTAATACACCTTACCTGTTCTAGATCTCTTGATTTTCTTTCCCTACTCTTGGCAATCTTGTAAATATTTTGCTCTCCTTCCTTCGTCTCAAGGTTCTTATAAAATTCTTCAAAAGCTTTAGAACGAGCTTCACCCACAGCTCTCTTAGTTTCCTTCTTAGCCATACGGTACCTCTCCCAATTTTCCTCATTGTTACACAAATGTATGGCTTTAAAACAGTTCTTCTTATACTTGATTTTGTCCTGTACACTATTATTCCACCACCAAGACTCCTTATCTCTCGGACCAGAACCTTTCGATTCTCCCAAAACTACTTTTGCAACCTCCCGTATCTTTTTAGCCATATCCTCCCATATGATGTTAGCACTTCCCTGAGAATCCCAAATTCCTTTATCCAAAAGATTTCGCTTGAAAATATCTTGCTTCTCACCTTTTAATTGCCACCACCTAATCCTTGGTGTTACTACTTGTCGACGTTTTTGGATTTTACTCATAATACACACATCAAGGACTAGGACCCTATGTTGTGTCGTTACAGCATCTCCAGGGATCACCTTACAATTTTTACAAAGTTTTCTATCTGTGTTCCTAACCAAAAGAAAATCAATCTGCGACCTTGAGGCTCCACTTTTGTAGGTGATGAGATGCTCATCTCTCTTCTTGAAACAAGTGTTGGCAATCTTAAAATCATACGCCAATGAGAAATCAAGAAGAGTTTGCCCTTCATTGTTTAGCTCTCCAAAACCAAAACCACCATGCACCCTCGCATACTGACCAGCTTCCCTCCCGACATGCCCATTAAAGTCTCCTCCAATAAAAATCTTTTCACTCTGTGGTATGTGTCGAATCAACCCCTCCAGATCCTCCCAAAATAATTCCTTAAGACTGGCTTCTGTCCCGACTTGCGGCGCATAAGCGCTAACAATATTAACAGTCTCACGTCCAATTATCATTTTTAAAGAAATAATTCTGTCTCCAATTCTGCTAACTTCTACAACGTTCTTCTTCCACTCCTTATCTATAATGATGCCTACTCCATTGCGTGCACTTACTTTTCCTGTATACCAAAATTTGAAACCTTGAATATCCTTAGCTTCTTCTCCACGCCATTTTGTTTCTTGCAAGCAAAGGATATTGATTTTCCTTTGAATCATAACCCCTACAACCTCTACAGATTTACAATTTAATGTCCCAACATTCCAAGTACCAAATCTAATTTTGCTCTTATGGACTAACTTCTTTAGCCGCGTGCGTCCAGAATGACGCGGTAGCCCTTGCTCATTTAACACTACATCCGGGCGCCGATGCAGCGGCTCTAACTCACTTATCACTGTACTCGAGCCATGCAGCGCGTTACTTACGGGCAACGACCTAGCATTAACATTATAACGTCTATTGTCCATGTTCATGATAGATTCAACAAATTTTTACATTGGCTGTTGATGGCCTAACACAACCCTCCTCCTTTACCCGGGCTTGGGACCGGCTATAAACATAGGCGGAGTTATCCTTAATAAAAATTAATAAATATTTAAATTTATTTTATAAAAAATATTAATATTTATTTTAAATATACCACCAATTTGTTTTTCTAGATCCGTCACTGCTACAAGCTGTCTGACCCAATATATAGACTGCAAAGTAACAAATGACTCCTAAAATGACTACCCGCAACCTTAAGCTTTGGATTAGCGGGCATAACAGGCTGAACAACATTTATTTATTGAAAATAAAATCATAACTGTTCCTAAATCTTAGGACACTTTGAACAGAATCTGATAGTTCCTAATATTGGGGAATAAAGCAACGGAAAATAATTAAAATAATAAAATGACAGAATAATTTGAGACTAAGTCAGCTGCACACATGACTGCCTCCCACTGTAGGTGTGGTCTATCATATCCCTATTATAATCACCCTACTAATTGCCTAACTACCCCTCTTATTACAACTACATATCAATCACTCACAAAAAGTAGGCTGACTAATGTATAATTGTCTTTGTTGGTCATTGTATTAGTGTAAATGAAGGTTGAGGGGTCAATGCTTAGCATAATTGAGTCTTTAAATGATATATTTTGGTTTGGTTCTTTCCTTTCTCCTTAAGTGTTTTCTATATTCTCAATGTGACTTAAAAAGTGAAACCCTTAGTAATTCATCATTGTTGAGCTCTTTATCAGTTTTTTTTATAACCAAAGGAAACTTTATGCATTAGGTTGAAGAAAATGGCACAAGTTTTTCTTACATTCTTGTCAAATTGACTTGTGAGTCTCAAATGTTTTTTTTTTCACCTCTAAAAATGCTCAAATTACTCTGAAAAATTGATAGGTCGGCATATTGGAAAAGACTGGGTCATATTTAAAGTCCTCAATGTAATAATGTCTTTATGTATTAAATTAATTTTTGTAGTATAAAATATAATTTCTTCTAATTCCATATACATGTTATATCAGCAAAAGAATTTTTCTTTCAATTTAGGAAGTTTCTTGTGTATGCAGGATTTGGAAGTTGAGGGAAAACTGCCTGAGAATGTTAACTATCATGAAGGAGTGTTCTACAATTATTTCAGTATAGGTATTGTGATGTGTACAATGCTTGTATCATGGTCTTGCCTTGAACTTTTAGTCAAGATTAACCTTTGTGATCTGAGGGTGAAGCTACCAGACAAGAGAGAATTCAGTCCAAGGGATTATTACTTTGATTGGTGTCTGCCTAGTATTTATTTATCCTGGGAATAATTTAAGAATGGAGTCAAGCTGGCTTTAAAGTCTACTGCTTTTTGCAAGGATTGGTTCGGCAATTTTTGCAAGATGCTTGATGCCATTGGGATTGCAATTTGTCGTTTGAATGAGAATGCCATCACACTTGAAATTTTGCTTTTGTTCCTTTCCTAGTTTTTTTGGGGTACAGAACAAACTTAGAAACTATGAATGTACTGCTTTTACTTGTAGGTTTGATGCGATAGCTATTTCAGATGCCACAAATAAAATGTCATTCTATTTGTGAACATTCTCGTTGTTCATATTTAGTCATTTTATCATACAGGAATGGATGCCCAAGTGGCTTATGGTTTCCATCATCTACGCAATGAGAAACCCTACCTTGCAAATGGTCCTATTGCGAATAAGGTATGATGTACCTAGACCAGTTGACTAATGCTTGCTAGGGTAACATAAATTATTATTTCCCCCGAAGTAGGGTCCCTATGCCTAAATTACTAAATTATATGTTAACCTGTTTTGAGCAGGTAATCTGTAAAAAGGTGGTACTTTCTTGTGTTTGAGCAACTGTGTGTTTAGAATAACTTGTTGCATTAACAGGCTAACAGCTTCCATTTATTCATGGGCCCTTAATGATATTATAGCTCTCTGTCATTCCAATACATGGATGTGGACCAATCTTATTTTCTTGGTTGCAGATAATATATTCTGGTTATGGTTGCACGCAAGGCTGGTTTTTCACTCCTTGCACTAGTGATCCAAGTTTAAGGTAAAGGCTATTCCAAAATTCTTAACGCTTCTTTACTCTCCCTTTGAAGCTATAATATACAAAACCTGTAGTATGTTACAAATACAACCCAATTGAAGAGAATAGAAGAAAGAACAATGGCAAAATAGCCAGCTCTAAAGAATTCAGCCATTTATTCAGAAACTTAAGAAACTAAAGTTTCTCTTCATAATGCCATTAGCAGACAAATTGCTCTTATAATTGTTTGACCTCCTTCCTTGAAATGACTGCTTTGGCATTCTTCTAGCTGCTTTTTTCTGCCATGTTGCTTAATACGTGATAATAATATTAATAGAACAGGGAGACTGGAAAAATGAAACTACGGAGAAAAGGAAGGGGCTAATATTTTTTGTTAAAAAAGAAAAAAAAAAACTATTGGGAGACTCAACAACTTTTTCTATATTCGACTGTAATCATTTTTTTTTTTTGGGGTCTGAACTATAATCAAGTTTAGGCTAAGCAAACAAAGTCCCATATCCCTTTTGCTTTGCGTGCAGTATAATGAACTATTTATATAATCTGGAGTATTTGACTGAACAATTAACAACTCTTGGAGTAACTATTTTCACAACCTTATACCTTCTGGGTTTACTAAACTGTCAATACCAATGCTGCTTAGAGTTAGAAATTAGCCTCTCGTAGAAGCTTAGAAAGCTTCTTAACATTGCTTAATCCCGTAGTGCACATCCCTACTATTGACAAAGTGTTCCATAAAAACTCTAGAATCTTACTCATCACAGCTCCCTGGGTTGTACCAAGATCTTTGGCTGGAACTTCTTGATATCAAAAACAATACTGAAGGACATGGTCAGTACGAAATACCACAACTGCCAGGCTGGAATATAACAGTAATTTTAAAGGTGTGACTTCTATTGAGGGGAAAATGATAGAAAATCATTTAAGATGGTTTGGACATGGATAGAGAAGACTGTAGGAGGCACTAATGAGGAAAATGAAATGAATAATCTCGAACCCTTTAAAGAGGGATAAAGAAAGACCAAAGAGAACACTTACGGAAGTTGTTGAACATGACTTTTAGTTAACAATATTGATGATAGAGCATAATGGTGTTGTGCAATTCGTGTAGCCGACTTTACCTAGTAGGGTAAGGCCTATTGTTGTTGTTGTGCTCCTTTGACATAATGTGGCACATGATCTGAATTTTGATTTGGCTTCCATTGTAGATATTTCCCCTTTTTCTTCCTTTGTTGACTCTCCATTATATTCTCTGTCAGAAGTTTGTTTCTAGTTACGTGGATTTTCACTTGATGCCTGCTACCCTATGCAGTTCATAAATTTGGATTTGATTATTTACAATAATCTCAGGAAAACCTTTATCTTGTGGAAATCAAAGTTCTACGCTCCAGTAATTAAGGATGACGATTGATTCCTATATTGTATTCCTAATTACTTGAGTATTAATTTTCTGTTATTAGGGGACTTAACAACATACTGCGGATCCATGTCAAAAAGGTCAATTGCTCAGACTGGGAGAAGGTTACAGTTCCTTCAAGGTGATTATTTATTTATTTTCATATCAACTGGGTAACGAAGCAACACCCTATTTAATTGAACATCATTACTTTTGACATGAGGCTAGTTGCTAGGGATTGTGTGTTTCTTCTCTTGGTTCTGAATTTCCTCTGTCTTGGTCTTGTTCTTATATTTCCATGTTCATAGATGCACAGTTCAGTAAATGTAGCGTATCAGCAGTCAAGTTTGTGCTATTCTTTTTGGTTTGTCCCCTTCTATGTGATAAGATTATGTTATTTCCTTTCAGTGTAAGGTCAATAGTTGCTATGAATCTTCATAGCTATGGAAGTGGAAGAAACCCCTGGGGTAAACCAAAGCCTGAGTATTTGGAAAAGGTATTCTCTTTTTGTTGTCTGATATTTCCTGTCATACTGATAATCTTAAACCATTAAAGCATTCATTCTCTGATTATATCTTTTTGCTTTTTGGAATACCCCCTGTATTATTTTGGAGACATCAATAAATCTGTTTGTGCCCCTTCGGTGACTGAAATGTGACTTCAATTTTTTCTTTTCCAAGAGACATTTCCATAAAGCAGTTAAACCCTTTGTCGTATCACATCATGGACTATGTATGCCTGAGTTTCTTCTCAGTCTCTAGTGCCTGGTGGTTGTGTTATGATTGGGAGCATTAGTGTCCGTTTAGATTTCAGTTGAGTATAATAGATTATGAAAATAATTGATTAAATGGTAAATTTTAATCATAATTGATTATGTTATAACACAATGTGTTTGGATACTGTTTTTATAAAATTAATTTTAACAGAATTGAAGATGTTTGGATAATTAATTCAGAATCAATTTTAGTTGTATAAAGTACCATAAAGGACATTGCCTTTTAAAATTAAATTATTAATAAATTTATATCTAATATTATTAAAGTTGTTACGTTTTATTTAAGAAGTAAAATATATTATTTAAATTACATATCTAATTAATTAAAAAATTTAAATTATATTAATATTAACATTTAAATTTACGTAAATAAGTAACTCAATATATCTTAGTTAAAATAAATTTAATAAAAGAGAAATATTTAATTCTTAAGCACCAAACATTAATTTTTATTAAGAAAAAAAAAGAGAAGAGAAGAGAGTTTGGTTTTATTTTTATAAAATTTTGTACCTTTCTTATAATTTTTCTTCGGCCTTTCTTTGTAATCTTTCCCAATACCTTTGTAAATTTGAACGCAAAAGCTCATTCTTTCAGCTTTGGCAAAAAATCAATTTTTTGGAAAAGTTGCTGTTTGGGTAATTGAAGCAAAAATCAATTTTTTTCCTCAAAAAATCGATTAACATGGCTATCCAAACACACACTTATTATGGTGATTGCCATGGACTTCTGATTGGTGATTATTACTGAATATGAACTTGCACGATGATGCTGTAAATCATGTCTTACAATTTTAAGGAGGTTAACTGAAAGGGCTTTTTCGTAATTCCAGAGACAATTTGTTGAAGCCCATGTGGATGATGGACTTCTGGAAATATTTGGTCTAAAGCAAGGATGGCATGCATCATTTGTCATGTTTGAACTTATATCTGCGAAGCACATTGCTCAGGTACGATATATTTTAGTTTGAAATTGTTTATGGGTTGTGTTTTTGGGTAATTTTCACTTCTCAAATGCAAAATGTGACTTAGGAATCCCTAACTGCTTGGTGTATTGGAGGGTGAACGGATTCTAAATTGAGTCAAAGTAGATTTTACATTGGTGTATTGGACTTGGAAATGATTGAGTCAAAGTAGATTTCACATTTGTGGAATGTTCCATGACTGGACTTGGAATCATGGGGATCAAACTTCCATGTTGCTCTTGGCTTTGTTGCATTCAAATCTTATGCTGAGGATGCCTTCGCGTTGATGGTCTGTTGACTACTGATTAAAATTGTGGCATTAGATCGAGTAATTAACTCTCACCGTTATTGTAGGGGTTTTTGAGCACTTTTTCAAAATCATTATTAACCATTAATTATCTGGATGGACAATATTCTGTTCTCCCGTGTTGGGTGCATTGAGAACTCCGAAGATAACCCATCAATAAGTGACACTACTGTCGAACAGCACCAAAATTAATAAAAACTAGATTTTGCAGTAAAGTGCAACCTAGGTCGTCTCCCTAAGAGTCAATAGAGTAATTATTTAAATTATGATTATGAAAAGGTAAATAATGGGGGGGTTTTTTTATGATGAAATTAAAAACTAAATTATAAATAAATAAATAGAGGAAATTCAATTAAGAAAATTACCGACAACAAGCAGCGCAATCAATCACAACCCAATCACCTAAATTTAACCTTCCTCGTCTACAAAATAAATTAATTTTATTCAACTTTATTATTCTGGTTTCATTATAATATTTCTCAAATTATCATTCAAGAATTAAACAAGAAGTTAAGTTATAGATTAATTGAAATCTCCTTTAACCCACAACCTAACAATTGTTTTATAGCCACACCAAAAACAAAGCATGGATAATCACCCAAGCCAAGCCAAATTACTCTTACAATGCTATATCAATCGATTATAGCAATTAAAACCTCAGATAAAATTTATAACTCAAAAATTATGCAATAAAGCTACTCTAATCAGTAATAGTAATTAAAGCATAAAATTTAGAGGTAGAGAGAAGAAGAGAAAATTGGAATAAAGCTAAAATAAAATCTTTCCTGAATATTAAAGACTCTGATTAAAATTTAGGATCATGGTTTGTGATTGATCACACCAAAAAAAAATTAGCTCTCCATAGAAATAAAAAATCAAACAACATGAAATGAAAAATTGAGAAACCATCACCCAAGAAATTGGAAGAAGGAAAGACGAATGGCGATCGCTGCTCTGTTTCCCTTCTTTCCTTTTTTTTTCCCAGATCGTGCTTCCTCTCCGTCCCCCATCTATTCATATATATATATATATATATATATGAAAAGTGGACCCTAATTAAAAATTACACTAAATAATTCAAAATAAATTCAAATAAAATTTTAAAGATTTGATTCTTGATTTGATCTCCAAGCATGCCCATATTCTTCTTATCCAAAATATTCTTCATCAATATCTTTCAAATTGAATCTAGAAAATCTGCACAAATAAAATAAAATTAAATAGCACCTGTGCAAAAATATTAAAGATATTATTTATATTTTAAAATCAAAGATTTAGTTAGTTAAAATTCCAAAACTGAATATTAGCTAATAAAATCAAATAATATCTAATTAAACTCAATTAGCCTTAAATAAATAATTAAAAGTCTAAATTAAAAGAATAAAAATATATAAAATTATCATTTATCAATAAGTGAATCTGAATGCCATCTACCCTGTTTCTTTCTTCACATTTTTTGTTTAATCCTTTTTTTTTTCCCCTGGTATGAAGAAAGTCTTTTGACCTTGCAAGGTGGCAATGAACCTTTAATATTAGCCCACCTTAATCTTAGAAGAGTGAGGTTGGTGCCGTGGGAGCTGTTAGATTTAGCTCGTTGCCTTGTGTATCCAATTGAGATCTTCTGCAGTGCATTATATTTGAGAGAGTAGCTTAAAAGAAGAGAATTATGTATGGAATCCTGTTTCTTTTCACACACTATTTTCACTGTCTATCTAGATACACATAATGCATTTATTTCTTAGATTCAGAGAATTCAGATCATGGCCTACCTTGTACTTGTGTCTAAAATGTAGTCAATACTATTTGTGCCAAACGTAATCACCATTATTTGGCTTGGCATAGTGAAATTTCCGTCACCCCAGAGATTAATTCTATCAGCGTCTCTTGGCTCTGAAGTTCTATTCCACTTGTGCCTACCTTGCAGGCAGCTGCTGTTCGGTTGGAGCTGATAGGTGGGGAGTGGAAAAATGCTTATATGCAAATGGATGGAGAACCCTGGAAACAGCCATTGGATAAGAACTTGTCCACAATCTTGGAAATAAAGAGGGAGCCTTACCAGTCATACATGATTCGTGGAGAGTAATTCTTTTTTTAATATTCACCTTGATTTGCTTACATAGTTGGGATTCTTTCAGGGCGTGTAAATTGTATGTATTATAGGTACTGACGCTTGTTTGAACAATGTGTTCGGAAACTAGCTTCACTTTTTTATTGTGTAATGAAATGTAGTTTTCACAACATTTGGATCCAAAGATATTGCCCGCTAAAATTTCAATAAATTATTATTTACTTTTGTACTATTTTATTCTCTTCTCTCTCTCTTTTTTTTACCAGCTACCATTTTATTCTTTATAAATAGAAATAATACACACACAAATTTTACCCAAAGCCTTGCGTCTGGATTGCCAAATGAAGGAGAGTGACAATAATTTATTGAACAAAAACTTACAGGAGAATTCCAAACGATGGTCTTAGCAAGCCATGAAATTATCCCAAAAGAGGCAATATACGAAGATCTGATAGAGGCCACTCCAAGTAGCTCTGGAAATAAAACAATCAACGAATATATACCTAGGATATTCTTCTTCTCGATAGCCAAGGAATGACATTGAAGAGAATTTTTTTTTTTTTGAGCTAATCATGTTCAAAGCATTAAATGTAAACACTTCTGTTTACAGGGTTTGAGTTTAGGTTTGTCAGGGACTATTCCTGTTGGTGACACTGAAAAAGAATTGTTATTGAGATGCTGAACTGAAAATGTCACAGGATACCCTCGACGACAATTTTCCAAAGCAAAGAGGAAGAGTGACAGTGTATTTGGCAGGCAGGTCAATTCTCCCAGTTTTCTTCCAAGCATAAGCTTTATTCCTTTGAGTTAATATGTTGTTGATGAAGCAGTTTGAAAGCTGATGAGAATTCGCAATCTTTAAATTTTTTTTTTTAATTCCAAAAGAGGCAGTCTCTATCCTCTAAACTGGGTGTCGGAGTAGTGAGAATTTTTGAAGCAGCCTGAGAGGAGACTTTAGAGACATTATCAGATCACCAACAGTATTAACAGAGACAAAAGTGACGGAGAAGATTGATTATAAAAAAAAAAAAAAAAAAAGAAAAAAGGAAAAAGGAAAAAAAGAAAGTGATGGAGAAGATTCAGCTCTTAACGGCCACAAAAAGGTCTCTGATCCAATCCCACCTTCTATTTAAACCTTATTCAATACAGTGGAACTATCGATCCTCAATTTAACCTCAAAAGAGAGAGATTCATTTCAAATATTTCCTTTGACTTGACTTCGTTTTTATTTGGATTCTTCTTTTTAAGCATGATGCTGGGCCTGGGAAGTTCGGATTTAATACTTGTAAATTTTCTCTGGCTATGTAAAATTTAGTTAAAAGAGATCTATCATTTATCCTTAATATCTTGAGAAAGATAATTTCTATTATAGAGGGACCCTACTCTTTGTATTTGCCAAAAAAAAAAATTCAGAAAGTCATTTTCTCCAATTTTATATTGCTAAGTTTGCGCCCTTTGGTCATTGGATTACAAATTCTTAATTACGATTTTGGGAAATATTATATTATCAAATGGAAAAATGAGTAGCTAGAAAATATTAATTGGAGGGTATATGTTGAGTTCCTTTCAACTGAAACATCGCATTCATCTGTCTGTCTGTTTATTATTTGGAGAACACATGTCATTGCTTCCCTCTAACATATTCCTCTAAATCCGACAAATATCGTTTATTATTATAATTTCAAATTCTTTTACCACTTAAAGAGAAGGAAATTCAATACTCTAGTAATTTTTATTTATGTAAAGATATTTTTCTATTTCTTAAAAATTAATAACAAATATTTTAGAATATTTTTATATATCAACATCTGATCAAATAATAAAACATATTTCCTTTTCATGACATGCCAAATTTACTCAGTATTTCAATTCATCAAACTACATTTCCACTATCATTATCATTCTCATTCCTATTCTCGATTTGTATGTAAAGATCTATGGGAAAATAAGTAGTGGGGAAATCGTAGTAGAAAATGTGTAGGGTTGGAGATGAATTCAGTGAGAGATAATGAAGTGCACTATAAAAGGCCATGGATGCCCCATAATGTCGTCAGCAAGCAATTCATACTTTGTGTCTTCTCTAGAGGAAGCATCCATCTGTGCTCTTCCCACTCAATACTCCTACTGATCATCTACTCACTCTCCACATTCTTATTTTTTTTTAATTACTTATATGTTACTGTGCTTTTGCTTTCTCCCAGTTATTTCCTCGGCCACTGTCGTCCCAGAATGTTAAATCACACAAGATTCATCACTGTGATAGCCATGAAAGCCTGTTTCCAGTGGCTGGTGAATTTTGTGGTGTTCAAGACATGAAGCTGCAGTAGTGAATTTCTTTTCCAATCACAGCCTCTTCCAAGTCCTTTTCACAAATGTTTTCAAGTGACAAGTAAAGGGTTATAACCTGTGACCAAGATTATTAAAGCCCAAATTTCTCAGTATTAATGCACCTAAATGATATGCTTTGTTTGGAGAACTGATTGTTTGGTGTGAGACTAATTAATAAGGTTAGAGAGTAAAACAAGGGGAGAATTACATTCAAGTCTTACACAAAAAAATTAATTAATACAAGGTTTATTGATAATTGAAAAAAGAGATTGATGACCCAATTTATTGTCTATCTCTTAAGTTTAGTTATCACTGAATCTTATAGTAATTAATTTTTTTGTATAAGATTTTAATTTAATTGTCCTTAAAACAAAGTTGAGAAATAATGAGGTGCTTTGTTATGTGGGACCACTAATGACACAAAAAAAAAACTAATGGTAATCTTTTTTTTTGGCTGACAGATAATCTTATTTTAATATACTCTTTCTAGACCAAAATATGGGCATTCGTAACTAATTCATGGTTTTCAAAAAATTAGTTGAAATCTTAATTTCTTTAAAAAAAAGTTGCATCTTTCAAATTATACCTCTAGTAAATATCATATATAAGTACCGTGATAATGATATTTAAAATTTTAATGCTTCATTTAAAAAAAAAGTGTAATAAATGAAGTAAGGATATAGTTGAAAAAGTAATTATAAGTTACCCAATACCCTATATGTTAGATCAAGCAAAGCTTCAAAATGTCTTATATTGTGGTTTGGAAGGAGGGGAGAGTGTGTGTGTGTCCCTCTAGGTTCTTATGCCCTGTTTTGTCATCCTTTAGACGCTACTTGTGATATATATACAAAGGGATGATCTGAATTGATCATGATTAGATGAATATAACTGTGATCTGTGAAGGAATGTTTGTGTCCCTTGTTCTCTCATGCATTATTTGTATTCTTTGAAGTTGTTAAAAAATATGTAATTTTTTAATTTTATCTTTCTTACCATTAATAATTATACTGAATTGTTGCATGTATAGGACTTCAAACAACATAAATAAACAAGGGATAAAATTAAAAACATATCTTTAATACCCTAACTTTGCCTATATTAAGAACCAAGAAAGCTTTAAAATTGAACTTTGCCTTATACTAAGATTAGGAGAAAATATATAATTATCTAAAACAAACAACTTATTTTTCTTTTGTAACCCTAATGAATTGACCTACTCATCACTGGTCAACTCACACAAAGGCTTGTAAACACGATGTCAACTAAAATTTGTTAGTGCAGCCCAATAAAACACGGATCACATAAATTGAGCTTACAAAATTTACAGTTAACCATATTTAAATATAGGTTTTAGTAAGCAAAACATGATTTATATATGGAAGATTATATATCTAGAAAATCCAACGTCATCATCAGCTTGTGTTTAATTAATTACAGTGCATAAATATACTTGGCCTTTCGCTCACTTTGGAGATAGAATCCTCATTCTCCCGGATCACAGATCAATGTGGTTTCCCAATGCAAAGGAAAGTCATGTCATTCCATCAACCAAACAGCCTAATTGGAAAAACTAAAAGAGTATGATCAGTTTCTACTACTGTGCTTTATTATTGTCTTTTGTGATTGGAACAAAGCAAGTATAGCCAATCATTCTTTTTTATATTTGGCCAAGAAAAATACCCTATAGCCAATCATTCACTGCTTCTAGATTTGGATTCGGAAAAAGCTTTAGAAGTTGATGAAAGTGGAAACATAATTAAAGTTGATCAAAATGATTTGATACAATTTGTGGGATTGAAAGTAGAAGGCACTAGGGACGACAGTGCTCTTAATCGATGCCGACACGCTACTTCTCCCACAAATGATTGCCTTTGCTTATTATGGCTTCGTCTTCAATTCAAAGTTCAAACCTCAAACCATGTTATTGTTTTTCACATTCAGTCACACATGACCAAGTTGCTGATTGGCCAACATAAATATATAAATATATGTACATATTCTTCACCACTAATCCACTAATTCCGCTCTGTACTGATATATGTTGCGATTCTGCATAAGCAATTTGTGGCCAAACGACCTCCACGTACGAGGTAAATCGCGGAGTTCATTGTTTAGTTTTGAGGTCTCCAAGAGATAGATTAAACGAGACATGTTTCCATGTCACAGAGATACTAACAGAATCACATAATCTGTGTGTGTGTGTGTGTGTCTTGCTGCAGTCAATTTTTTAAGTTTGGAACATAAAAACGCCACGGCAATAAATACTAACCAGGTCCAACAGCATAAAATAAAATATAGTACTTTTAATCTCTAATATTCTATGATACATATATGATCTGGAATAGATATTGTTGAAGTTGGAAGCATAGTGCGGGTATATTTAATCCCAAATATCCATTGAACCAGGTTTGATGACAGCAAATTATTATATATTGACACAGCAGAATCGTGCCCTTTCTATTTTCTATTGTCTTTCCACCACTATGCTTCCTATGCTTCCTGCATTTGTCTATACGTACGTACACTTATTAAGATACTTTATTATGCATCGTTTTCTTTTTTACTTTTCTTTTATAGTGCACCCGATATCTTGAGTCTGCCCATGTTGAGTTGAAGAGACTTTAACAAACAAAGCCTAGACTAATCTAAATCGGGAAGCTTTACCACCAATGCTATTACGTTTTCTTTAGAGTTTGAAATCAAGACCTCTAATTAAGAGGATACAACTCACTTGCCAGTTGAATCAAGTGTCCAGTAATTACATATGCTCTTTCTTTGACTTTCTACTAGTGAAAGTGACATAAGTGTTGTGCAGTAATTAAGAAGCAACCTCACATACAGGTGTTAAGAAGCAGACTAATGTAAGAAAGTCTGAAAGTATAAATGAGAGGGACAGGACATTAA